GCTCATATACGTCTCCTAACCGCAGTTCACACATATGTTTCATATGTTTGTTGTTGTTTAATAAACACATTTATTAAATAAAAAGGCAAGCATTTTTTTTTTATAACTTACTAACAAAGAAATGAGTAGCAGATGAAAGAGAGAATTATGAATTGGTCATCAGAGTTACTAACCTTCCTGCCAAGTCAACTAAATGAATTTTACTGACAGTTTCACTAGGCATGTCTGTATAGAACTTGGCCTAAAACATGATGATAAAAAAACATCAGTAAAAATGATAAATTTCTCTTTAAGTACAGGTAATTATAGCAATGCTGATTCACATATCTTTGATTCAAGACCTCAAATATGTGTATTTTTCATTACTAGCACATGAAACAGAAAAATTATCCAGTCAAAAATACATTAAAATATACAATGTCAATAACTGTCTCCATGTCTCGGGAGAATACCCTTGGCTAATAACTGCATAATCATATTTTATTACATGACTCGGGCAAACAGAGGGCCAATAACTAAAATCAACCTATCAAAATGCTCTATTGCCGGTCATTATTCTCTCAGTATTGGACTGGGCACTGTCCCCACTGATACAGCACTTGTGTCCCTCTGAACTTTAGTCGTAGAATAAAATTCTCTTATTAACCAAGCTTGCTCGGGACTGTACTGGAAGAATATCGGCCCTCGATCTTTTTTGTACGGACCTCGCTGTGCTTGGTCTGTACTGTCAAGACATCGGGCCGATATTCTCCCAGTGCGGCCCTTGCGCTTAGTTAATAAGATATATTTAATTTACTGGGAATCAAACCAACAATTGGTTTGTTTTCTTACCTGTGTGAACAGAATAGTGAATATTGCATGTGATCTACTGCTGACATCATTCATGTTTGTAGAAGCAACAGTCCTGGAATATGAACAAGATACAGGACAAACAAATTCTCTCATTGCACTAATAAACTGCCTTGTGCTAGTAAAATCTTAATATCATCATTGAAAAGACCAGGCAATTATTTGCAAGAATTTTGAGAAAAACCCCAGTAGCTTTTCTCCATCAAAGAATGCTTGAGTTTTCCTTCCCTTTCCATTCACTTGAGGTGTTGTCCTCCTTTATCCTTCTCATTCCTGTACAGGAATCTTTCACTCAAATTATATTGCAATTCATGTTGCCCTAGGTCCTTGATCATATTACAATGGTTGAAAATTCCAAGATGTTTAAATTGAAAATCATCACAATTTCATTCAAGAATGATCAAAATCAGTGCAGTCAATACATGTGTAATTGATAAAAAAAAAACTGTGACAACAGTTTTAAGACTGAAGGAATGTGTTCTGCTATTATTTTTATCATTATTGTATTATTATTAAATATTATTATTATTATTATCATCATTATTATTATCATCATCATTTTTACCTGTTTGTGTTTCCTTCTTCCATCAGATTTCCTATTCCCTCATAATCTTTCACAACATGTTTTGTCAAATCTAAATAAGTATAATTATAAATAATATTATAAGTATATTTTTTAACCAATAACTCTGTCAAAACGTGTGTGTGTACCACCTGTATGTGGTGTAAACCCTCTGTTGGATCACTGTGTTGTGTCTTTACGAAAAGCACTGCATGTAACCCTCACAGTGTCTCTCTCTGTCCGGAAGTGAAGCACATAGAGAGGGCAAACTGTCCGAGATACTTGACAATATTCTAGGGGGAAACCTGTGATACTCAACCATTGCATTCTGGAGGATTAACAATACCCCCAATTGCTTCATGCTACTCAAATGACAACAAACTTTGGGCTCATGTACACGTAGGTTTATAAATCTTAGTCGTTAGACATCTTCCTGCTGACCAACTGACTGTACCATGAACATAACAAAGAAATAATAATATATATAATAAATAAATGACAATTTATATAGCGCCCTATCCAAAAGCTCTAAGGCGCTTCACAATCAAGGTAAAAAGTAAAATAATAATCAAACATAATCATTCATTAAAATAATGCTTAAAAAGATAAGTTTTAAGATTACACTTAAAAGTGCTAAGATCTATACTACATTTTATGGTTTCAGGAATGTCATTCCACAGCTTAGGTGCAGAGACAGAAAAGGTGCGATCGCCATAAGATTTCAACTTGGAGCGAGGAATCACTAACAAGTTCTTACTCGATGATCGCAAAGACCTAGTAGGCTTCCAAGAGAGACATTATTTGTCCTGCCACACATTGCTGATTCTTGCAGCTAATGCAGAAGGTGTCACATATGAACCAGGCAATGGTCTATCTCACCACAGAGTTCTCTGTAGTTCAGTGGTAGAGCTTTAAAGCACAGAATCCAAAGGTCAAGGGCCCAATTCCTCATGGAGCCTCAGATTTTTTCAGTTTGGCCAACCCTCACAACAAGACAAATAACATCTTTGATTCACTTCCACACTCAAAAACTACAATTTTTCTTTTTCTTTCCTAACTTTGCAAACATGTGGGTTACTTAACTGACAGTAACTGCAAAGTAAATTCAGTCCTTTCATTAACAAATGGTAAACACCACAGCATACACTATTGAGTTATGGATGCACCGT